CACTGATTGGGATAGAGACATCATTTCAACTCTCCACCCAGTTACTGATGTAAATACAGTGATGATATAGTTTGGCCATTCACATATACACACACACATTCTATATCCTAACTGACTTGTAGACTTAACTTTGTACCACTGATCTGAATCACAGGTTGTCTGACAAGGGAAAGGTGATGGACCATTTTCATTGCCTTCCTTATACTCAGAATGTTATGCAAAACACAAAGCACCTAGAAGTCCTCTCATTAGGGAATTAATCATCACAGATTTAGACGGAACACTTCTCTTTGTCAGCATTCACAGAAAGGAGGTCCTCTATGTAATTTTCAATGGGAAATATGCTAAGTTAAAGACCATGTTCTAGACTGAACGTTTAGCCATGGCACGGGAGCTGGGATTGGTGGCAGATTTCGACCTTGCTTAGGGGCCAACCCTCCAGCTGTGAGATTCTAGGCATGATGGAATCATCTGTGGGACCGAATCCAACTATGGTTGGGTTGAAGTTTTTGTTTGACTTTTTTTTTTTACTCTTTTTTTAATGGATTTACATATAATCATTCATGTACATTGTGTTTCGTTTATGTACACTGTGTTTTGTATAGTAAGGCACATGTATTATGCTTTATAGAATTACTTACTATTGATTTGTGTCTGGTGTAATAGTCTGTGAGTTGGGGTGTAGGGTTACCCATGATCTCAGTGTTGGGAAGAAAACAAATTCTAGAGCCTTCTGAATGGTGGTATAGGTGAAGAATATTGAATAAGGACTGCAAACCAATGAATAAGTATGTGTGGAAGAAGTGCAGTGATTAGGCATTATTGTCGTGACAGGCGTCCAGAACAAAGGACTGCATAGTGGGGTGGACCTGGGGGGAGGGATTGTATAACAATGAAATAATTTTTCTTTAACTTTTCAAAGAGAAGAGTTAACTGGTGGGGGAGGGGTGGACAGGGAAAAAAATGCAACAATGAATGAATGGAAACCCTAAGTCTCTGTAAACTTTCATTAAAATTAATTAAAAAAAAAGTAGTGCAATTAGAATGCTGTTTCGAAGTGAGGATGGGTAGACTTTGTCTTTGGCATGTTCTCAGGAAGGACCAGTGCCTGGCAAAGGCCATCATGCTCAGAAATGGGGAAGGCCAACAAAGGAGAGGAGGATCCTCAAGGAGATGGCTTGACACAAGGGGCAAAGCAGAGATGAGGAGGATGGTGCTGGATCAGCGAACAGTCCGTTCTGATGTACACAAGGCCAATAAGTTAGCATTCATCTGATTGCACCTAACCACGGTAGCCTAGTGGTTAGGAGCTGTGCTGCAATCCCAAAGGCATGTGGTTTGAATCTATCTACCAGCTACCCCATAGGAGAATGATGGGCAATCTCCTTTCATGCAATTTATGGCCTCTGTAAACCCACTGAAGGATCAGTTATGAGTTGTTCCCACTCAAGAGTACATAATTAAAACAATAAGGTCATTTTGTTTTGGGGGGGAGTATCATTCTCACACAACTTAAAACTCACATTTTTTTCCTTCATCATTTAGAGTAAAATGAAAAGGATGAAAAAAAGGAATAGTCCAATGGCTAGTCAGGGGAAGAGAACTGAGAGGGAAGGATGTGGAGTGTGCTACAGGCAGATTTATCTGCCCCCTTTCTTTCCAAATCTTCAGCACTGTTCTCATAGAGGTACTGACGGTCCTGCATGGCTTGGCAGGCGAGACTCTGGGTCACACTTCAGGCATGATTCCCAATCTCTAGGACATCCAAGTGAATAGACACATCTCTGATTTTGCCAGAAGGACAATAAACTCAACTGCCATCAAACACTGAAAGAAAGGTGTTCAGCGGATAACAACATCTCACTTCCAGACCTCTAGATTTTATTGTTATTGAAGGGGAGCCTGGAAAGGCAGGCTTAAAATTAACCACCACTTTCTATTTGAAACTTTGCAAAGACTGGGCAGGTCTGTACACCAGCAGAAAGGAATCTGTATTTTAAATTTGACTGGAGGGACTTAATAGACAGTGTTTTCCTCTGCACCTGTGGCTACATATCTAATATTTTGGTGTTTCTCAGCTGCATCCTTTTGCAGGTGAGGCTGTTGACCTCGATTTTCCCTTCTGTTATTTCAAAGTCGACATTTTACAAGTTATCTAAGAATAGTTGAACCATAAAACTATTTTTCTATAGTCAAAAATTCTGGTGAAAAATGACTAGATTTCACAGTTTGCCTCTTGATTTTATAATCTAATTGAGCTCCTAAATTTAGATGTAAACTAAAAATGGTCTCTTCCCAGAATTAAGTTCTTTCCCCTATGCCCAGAGGCTTATGAATGTTTGAATGCAAGTATACGAATATATGAATGATTTAAGAACATAAACATAACACTTCTTGTTGTAATCATGCGCATTTTACTTGGACAATGTCGGTTTGGAATAGGTTTGTGAATAGAACCTGTTTTCATGTAAATGGGCTCAAGCAGCACCACTGGCTAGTTATTTAGGGAATCAGACAATGCCACCCTTGCTGGAAGTGCCTCAAGAAGAATTTCGTCTATGTACTTAATATTTGAACCCTCACTCTTGCTTCACATTGTTGTTGCCTAATACAGATCTTATTGATGGACGATGACTAAAAGATAGTGTGAGGTTTAATTTGATCTCTTTCTGTGTGGCACCTCTATCTGGCACGGCATGTTTCAGTTTTCATCTTGGAAGTGATGTCTAATGAAAGCTTTCTTTTGCTTCTCTGTGATAGTCTTTTTTTTCCTTTTCTTTTCAGCAGCATGGTTAGCCTGTTCATGCCTAGATGCAGCAACCATGCAATAACAACTAACAGAGAAATGCCAAACCAACAGGAAATAACGAACTTGTGAAATCCTCGGGGTCATCGCTATATGCACAATATGGGTATTCTAAACACTACTGGACTTATTCTAAATTTCTAAGCAGCTTACCTATGAAGAGAAACCATCACCAAAGCACATTTCTTTCAGGAATAACATCAGTTTTTTTTGCGGGAGTAGCTTAATGTTTCACATTTATAAATTGGAAAATATAAGCAGACTGATGATATTGTAGCAAATAAAACTCCCAAAACAAAGGAAACAACAACAAAATAAACTCATGCACAGAAAATCCATTTATAAAATGAAGCTTGGTGTATTTCGTGTATTTGCATCCACAAATTCTCACATACTTAGAGGTATATATTTGTGTGTGAGCACAACATTGCATTATGTTATATATTTTAATGAACGCCTTAAACTGAGTATGCATTATTTATACAAATTGTACATGACCCTGTTGTTGGCTGGGGTGGGGTGGGGGAGAAAAAGACTATTTTCAAACATGTTGTGTGGCTATTTTTAACCTGCCTGAGAACATTAATCAGAAAAGAGCTTAAATCTTACTTCCTCTGCTTGTCTCTCTGGTACAAATAGGATGACATGGTGTGAGTGGCCATAATACGAGATATGACAGAGCTAGGCTGTTTTGATATTTGTGTGAAGGACAAATTTAACTCTAAATCTCTTGGCCAGCCCTGACTTTCCCCATGTAATCAGGAGTCCATCCATGTCCAGCCCTTGTCTAAACCTCTGAGAAGACTCTGCCCTCCTTCCCTCCTTCTGCTGCTCTCTGATCTGACTTTCATGCTTAATCTGATCTAATCCTGCCAGCATTATCTTCATCTGTGCAATGAAACCTGGAGGATCCTTTCTCAGATTTGGTGAGGAAAGGCATTTACTAAATTATTTGCTCAAATCATATGGTAAGGTTTTAGCTCCTTATTTTTTTATTAGATGAGGAATGTAATGTTGAAGCAGAGTATCAATGATAAGTCAGAAATCTACATTTTGCCCTTATTTGGATTTTCTGAAACTGAGTGTAAAGAGACTGAAAGGACCATGAAGAAATAGAAAATGTCAATTGAAAATATTTCTACTTTGTAGAGTAGTTTTTAAAGGGGAAAACAGCGACTTAGATGTAAAAGTTATGCATTGAGAAATCTTATTAAAATAAAAAGCTTATTTCATGAGAATTTTATCCCATTCATTTGCCTCTCCTCTGGAGAAAATGGGCTGAGCAACATAATGGAACTTCCTTAGAATCTGTACTTTTTGTTTCTTCATATTGAAAGTGCAATAGTTATCATTGTGAAGAAGCTATAAATAAAATCTTACCTCTAACAAAAAGTAAGTACTTGTAAAGTATCAACATTTCCCACACAATGATATAATTATTAAACATGAATAACAAAGAATGCATACATTAGTTACAATAATAATTAAAGTTCTAAGCATATTTATCCTCTCTTTCATTAACAAGTAAATAAATTGAGTTAAGAGAGAAGACAAATATCTAAAGTATTTTTTAAAAGCAAGCACCTGATAAAAATGTCAACATTATTATTTGTGTCAGAATAAAAATGAAATCTTTAACTTTTGTTTTATGTCTAATTAAATATCATAACTAAACACACTGAAAATATTAGAAAGCAAAGATGCCATTATGAGAAAAGACATTTCCCCAAAGACATTCCACAGATTCATTTATTTGCTGGAGTGCATATGAGTATGTACACACATATATATTCCCTTATATCAATAGTCAGATCTTTCCTAAGAAGTAAGCTAATTGAGCTGTTTGTGTTGATAAACTCCTTTTTCTCCAGACTATTCCTCTCCGAGCCATAATTATTTGCAATTTGCCTAAGTCGTCCATTTACTGATACGTCAAGCATGAAACAGAGGCAATTCCAGAAAATGGAAATGCTTCTCAAAATCAATCTTTGGGAAATAATGTGGTAGAAGTTACTGTGTGATAGAAGACTACCTTATGACTGTCACATGGAGATGAATATTAATTTGTTGAGGTTAAGGTGGCTTTGTGCTTCATTTGTTGACTTGCTTAGCCGTCAGCAAAGCAGCATAGCCCAATTACTCTGGCAAAGCTATTTTTTTCCTAACAGGAGTTTTATGATTTTTATGTACTTACCAGTCAGCACACATAACAATGTCAAAATGTCCTTCCAGTTGAGAGACATCTGTCTCATTATCCCATCGCAAAACGCTTGAGGAAAAAAGATTTCAAAAATTATACTTAGGTATTTTTTTAAACTTATGATTTTGAGCTATTAGCACTATTTTTTGGCATTTGAAATAATTTTAAAGGTATATACAAATTATTTTTTAAAAACCTAGAGATGTAACTGTCTGTTCTACATTTTACTTAGTCTTCTATCTAGAAGAATAGTTCTCTAAGTATAATAGTTAAGCTCTTGTTAGTCTCCACAGATAAATTCACAAAAATGCAAAACTCATTGCTATTGAATCAGAACTGACCAGTAGACCTTCTACTGAGTTGGCAGAAGCTATAAATCACATGGAAGGAGATCACTCACCTTTCTCCCATAGAGTGAGTAACTGGTGGATTTGAACCACTAAACTTTGAAATGGTAACACAACTCCTTACCCACTCGGCCACCAGAGATTCTTCCTATGCAAACAAGGGGAGAGAATCCCAGTCTCTACAATAGTTACTGGAATGATTTTAGACCCTTAACAATGGGGTACAGACTGAAACAGAAGTCTCCCCTGTCTGACTGGAACACAAAATCATAAAAATAAATTATATGAGCTTTTGTGTATATATATCCTGTCTGGCATGTCAGTTGCAGATCTTATTGATGAAACCAGCAATTTAGCAAGATAGAAGAAAGGAATCAAAGAATAGCCAATTTTCATTTGGTACTTTTCAGTTCATAGGCATATTTTAAAATATGCCAGAATTTCACTCATTCTAACTCCGACTCCAAAAGAGGATGTTTTAAACTTCACATTAATAACAATAATTAATAAAATCTATTTGAAAACTCTCATTATATTTATGAAGCCAATCTGAGATTTCAGGCTACTCTCAATTAAGAACTGTGATGATTAGCATTTTACCACTTAAAGTCTTTTAATGATTCCGCCCTCCATCACAGTAAAACTATGTTTTGTAGCACTTTTCCCCCAAGTAAAACTGCTCTTATTTTCTGTTTTGACTGATGCTTAGAATGAAACTCAGGGATCAGATCCTACCCTGTCCAGTTAACAATTATTTATTTGGTAGATTCTTCATTTCTTCTATATGTTCACTGATTGAAAAGCTGTGTGTCTGAATATAAAAATAAATCCTATTTTAATAAGTCAGATATGCAAAGTGTACATATACATTAATGCACATCAGAGTTCCTCAATTTCTTATGGCAAAAAGACGACACATCATCAGGAAAAAGCTTGTGCAGATTGATTGATCGTCTGTCATGGACGTGCTCATAGGACTCATTTTTACTAAGCACCTACTATGTGTGAGGCCCTTCAGGGAAGCAGCCCAGTGGGTTAGATCTCACTGCCATCAAAGAGATTCCAAGTCCTAGTGATTCTGCAGGAAACAGTAAAACTGCCTCATGGGGTTCCTAAGACTATAAATCTTTACAGAAGCTGACTGCCACATCTTTCTTCTTCAGAGTAGCTGGTAGGTTCAAACTTCTGCTTTTTGGATTAGCAGCTGATGCTCCTTTGGCAGGCCATGTGGTTGTTGTTGTTATGTACCATCGAGTCAGAATTGACTCCAAGCTGACCTTCCAAAGGGTTTTCAGAGGCAATAAATCGTATGGGAGGAGAGTGTCCATCCTTCTACCGTGGAGCAGCTGGTGGATTTAAACCGTGTGCCTTTGGGATTGCAGTGCAGTTTCTTACCACTAGACCACCAGATGATTAAACAATTTTTGTTTTTTTTTAAAGTAGGAGAAATTCTGGCCACAAGTAATTTCAATGTTGTTATTATGTGCTGTCGAGTCGCCTGCAACTGATAGTGACCCTATGTACAACAGCCCTAAACCCTGACCTACCCTGTGCCAATCTTACTGTTTCTGACACACCCACCCCGATTACCCCAGTGACTGAATCAATCCACCTCATAGAGAGTCTTTCTCCCCTGCACTGTCCCTCCACCCTCCCAAGCATGACACCCCTCTCCAGGGATTGGTCCCTCCTTTGTAGCATCCTACAATCTGGAAGCACACATACTCTGAGCACTGGGGAAGGCTTCTCAGAGAAAAGTAAAAATGCCCCCCCACCCCACCCCAAATGCTTATTTTGGATCCCTCGGAAACTGTAAGCAGCTGGGGAGAATGAGAAAAAGACCAACACACATAGTTTCTGGAAATGGTGAGGCTTTCAATAGAACTGGGACTTGTGTTCAGTGGGACAGTGTGAGCCTGCTCAGCCCTCATCAAAGACAGAAGTGTCTTGAAGAGTTTCTACTGTAAATGAGATGATTTAAAAATCTTTAGCTACACTATACTTTCTCAGATCATAAAAGTAATGTAGTTCCCACCAAAGTTTGGGAAGCAGACAAAACATATTATGAATGTTCATACTATTCTCATTCTAAGAACAATTATTAAGATGTATTTAATACAAGTATATTTACTAAAGGAGTTCCTCAGGAAACCAAATGGCTAAAGTGCTCACATGCTACTCCAAGGGTCAGAGGTTGGAGTCCCTCCCCCAGTGCCTTGAAGTAAGGTCTGGTCCTCTCTTTTTGAAAAATCTGACATTGTAAACTCTAACGGGTACAGTTCTCCTTTGACACACACGGACCATCAAGAGATGCAATCAACCTGACAGCAGCTCGTAATGGTGGGAATTACTAAAAAGCACAAGAACCAAAAAGTACAAGAAATCCTAACGTGATGCTGGATGCTGGATTCCTGAGATACTTCAGTCTCTTGGCTCAATACTAATATACTGTAGAGAAAGAGATCTAGGTGGTAATTAGCTATATGTGTATATGTATATGTATAAGTATATTTATATGTATATGTATATATATAATCTCGCCTAACAACACATCAGCAGAAAACTGCCAGAAGTCCAGGCTGGCTTTAGAAGGGGTCGTGGTACTAGGGATATTGTAGCTAATGTTAGATGGATCTTAGCTGAAAGCAGGGAATACCAGAGGAATGGCTATCTGTGTTTCATTGATTATGCAAAGGCGTTTGACTGTGTGGATCATAACAAACTGTGGCTGACTCTGAGAAGAATGGGAATCCCAGAACACTTGAGTGTGCTAATGTGAAACCTGTACTTGGACCAAGAGGCAGTCATCAAAACAGAGCAAGGAAACACTGCATGGTTCAAAATTGGGAAGGGCGTACGCCAGGGATGTGTCATGTCTCCATACCTTTTCAACCTGTATGCAGAACAGACTATCTGGGAGTCTATAAGGAGAAATGTGGGGTCTAGATTGGTGGACGATCTATCAACAATCTGCGATATGCAGATGACACAACCCTGCTTACTGAAACTGAGGAGGACCTGAAGCGCTTGTTTCAGAGGGTCAAGGACTGTAGCCTCCAATATGGATTAAGGCTCAATGTCAAGAAGACAAAGATTCTCACCACTGGACCAATTGGCAGCATCAGGATGGATGGTGAAGAGATTGAGTTTGTTCATAGCTTTAGTTTGTTTGGCTCCACAGTTAACACTCTCGGCACCAGTAGCCAGGAAATTAAAAGACATATTGCAATGGGAAAGTCTGCTGTTAGGGACCTCTCCAAAGTACTGAAGAGCAATGGTGTCTCTCTGGAGACTAAGGTGCGTCTGGTACACGCCATGGTCTTTGCTATCACTTGTTATGTGTCAGAGAGTTGGACAATGACTAAGGAGGATAGGAGAATTGATGCCTTTGAGCTGTGGTGCTGGAGAAGAGTATTGAGGGTACCATGGACTGCTAGGAAAATAAACAGATACATCCTGGAAAGGGTCAAACTGGGTGGCTCCTAGGAGGCAAGGATTCTGAGGCTTCGCGTAACATACTTTGGACATGTAAGGAGGGACTGGTCCTTGGAGAGGAAGGGACAGTGCAGGAGGGGAAGGCCCTCTATGAGGTGGATTGATTCAGTGACTGGGGTAATCGGGATGGGTGTATCAGAGACGGTGTGATTGGCACAGGACAGAGCAGAGTTTAGGGCTGTTGTACATAGGGTCGCTATGAGTCGCAAGTGACTTGACAGCACATAACAACAACAAACAATCATATATTCCTTTTAAACAGTTCTTTCCTTCATTTATTGCAGTGCAATGTTCATTATCTATCTGTCCACTTTTATCCTATTCTCCTCCCAAATCCTCATGCGAGACCTGTTTTATAAGTGGTGCTATGCAATGAGACATTTCATTCACAATAATGTCCTGTAGGATCACCTATGTTGTGTAATGTTTTAGGAGTTCATTGTGTTTCAGTGTTGTGTAGTATTCCATTGTATGAGTATACCATAGTTTTTCTATCCATTCATTTGTTGATGAGGACCTGGGTTGCTTCCATCTCTTTGTTATTCTAAATAATGCAGCAATAAACATGGGTGTGCATATATCTGTTTGGATGGCAGTTATGTTCTCTTTAGGCGGTATTCCCAGTAGTGGCATTGCTGGATCAAATGGTATCTCTATTTCTAACTTTTTGAGAAAACGCCATACCACCTTCCATAGTTGTTGTTGTTCTTAAATGCTGTCGAGTCGTAGGTGACTTATAGCAACTCTATGAATGAAAGACCTGAACACTTGTATAACTTACTTCGTTTCTCCAAGTTCATTGGATTTCCAGAGGCAAGCTATTTCAGAAGTGGATGCCACTCCTGCTTCCAAGTTAGTTTTAATCAGGGAGCTCCACCAAACACTGTTTGTCATGGGTGACCAATATTGCATTTGGCACATCAGGGTCACAGTGTTCAGCATCACAGCAACCACGAATTACCTCTGTACAGCAAATCAACAGACCAGTGTTATACCACCTAGAAGAACCATTTTACACTCCCACCAGTGAATTAGGGTTCCAATCTCTCCAACATTGTTTGCTTCTTTGTTGAACTTTGCTATTGTTGCTGGGATGAGATGATATCTCACTGTTGTTTTTATTTGCATCTTTCTGATAGCTAGGGAATTTGAACATTTCTTCATGTGTTTCTTTGCCATCTGAATGTCTTCTTTGGTGAAGTGTCTATTTATATCCTGTGCCCACTT